CTTTTTCCTAAATTTAGCAGATTTTTTTTAATAAGATTTAATATAATTTGCTAAATTTTATCTTTTATTATTTAGTTAATTTATAAACCTTTTAGGTTTTATTTAGCAATCATAATTAGATAATTGTAATTTTATTATATTAATTTAATTACTAAAAAGTATTAAATCATAAAAAAAAAAGTATATAATAAATTTTTTAAAAAATTAAAATTAAATAATAAATATATTAAAAATTAATTAAAAATCAAATTAAATTTTGATATATAGTTACTTAATTATACAGGTATTATAATTTAATAAAATGATATAAAAATTATAAAAATTATTAAATTAATATTTATTTAATATTTTATATATTTAATTAAGTAAAAGGTAATAAATAAAATAATAAAAAACTTAAAATATAATACTTTAAAAAAAAGAAATAGATATTTATATTAATAAAATACTTTAATTAACTTTATTTTTAATGTTTAATTTAATTAATTTTTAGAATATAATATTCAAACATTAATGTAAATTATAAATTTATTAAAATATAATTTAATAATAATAACTAGCCAGTACTTTTTTATCTAGTATCCATTAGATACTAATTTGATATATGTAGTGAAAGTGAAAGTATATATGATTACTGACTAAATGCATTGATTTACTATATGGTCAGTATAATAAATAGTTATATTAAAAATTTTTTATTGATAAAATTTATAAAATTTGTAGTATTTTATTTATTTTATTTAATAAATAATATAAAAAATTTTTAGAATATATTAAATAAAGTTTTTTTGAAAAGTAAAATTGAAATTATTTTTTTTAAAATTGAATTGAATTTTTGAAAATATGAGAAATATATAAGTTAAAAAGAAAGTAAATATAGAATATTTATGAAAATAAATGAGAATTTGTATTAAAAATATTTGATAATCTTTGATATTCTAATATAACATCTTGATTTGACATGAAGGCAGATCTGTCTAAGTAGAAGATTTCAACATTATTTCAAATAGAATATCAGCTTAAAGTAACATAAGCTTAACTAGGTGAGAAGATATTATCGTCTAAAGCTAGAGATATTCTTGGTAAAGTTAAGCCTTGGGTCTTGTGAACAGTCAAAGCAAAGCAATTTTGAAGAGAAAATTTGGTATAACGGCAATTGTTTTTATTTATTTCAAAATAATGGGTATATTTGTAAATGTCAATATTAATGATTGAGTCTCTAATAGAAAAAGCAATACGAGCATATATTTTAGAAGGACAGACATCAGTAATCACACCTATTATGCCATTACATATATTATGTTAAATGAGAGAATTGTTTAAATACATTACTCATGTATCTGATTGTAAGCAAATAGATAGCAGAAGATTTGTTTTTGTTTAAACATGAGATTTGATAGTGAAAGTTCCTATTGTATGACATTTACAATGTCTATAGTCTGTAAAATCATGAACTTATTCATAGCAACTGGAAGAAGATTATATATCATTCTATTGATCTAATAAGCATTTTCTTTAAATTTAATAATATGTGTAGTGTTGAGTAAAGTGTCAGTAGGCAGGTTAAATAAGAATTCTGAATGTTATTGTTATAACCTGATTTAAGTTTTATCAGAAATATTTCACATTTAGATATCTTTTAGCATAGAGTAAAATTCTTTATTTTGATTTTGATAATATAGAGTTCTTAAGAATATTAGATAGAAGAAAGACCAGATAGCTATATGAAATACTTGTTGACCATTATCAGTGAAAATTGAACTAGATTTCTGACTACTATAACATTTAGACTACCAAAAATAAGAGCATTTCCATGAAGATTGGCAAATATATTTAAGATAAAGTCTAAGAGTTCAGCAGAAACTATAGACACTTCTTCAATTATGATAGTATTAATTTTTTTAAGAAAGTTCTTAGTTAATTATTTATATAGGTATATGTGAGAAATCCATCATATATAGATATAATATGTAATTCTGAATGGATGGTAATTTCTCCTACATTTTAGGTAGCTATACCAATAGGAGCAAAAAGAAGATAAGGTTATGATTTTTGGATAAGAATGTTTTTGATCATATGAATAATAAAAGTTTTTTCAGTTCTAGTTGAACTAGTAATAAAGAAGTAAGGCTATTTGATACCATTATTTTTACCCATATATATGTTGATAATTGAGAGAGCATAGTATTGATTATGAGGGAGTTCAAGCATAGCAGTTTCAGGAAATATATGAGGAAGCATCATTAGATTGTTCATTTAAGATTAGATAATATCTGAGAGGTTTGTAGAAAGTTGATTGGCTAATAGTTCTAGTAATCTTTGTAGCATTTCAGTAAAAAATTATTTAGATACGTCATTCGGGATTGATGTGTGATTGTGACTTGATTCTATAAGTTATTTAAGAATTCAGGATATAAAAATAGAAATTTTTTGCGATATGTTCTATCAGAAGTAATCTTAAAATCAGATTTATTTCATACAGATATATTTAGTAGTAATTGTTGATAAAAGTAAAGTTCTCCATCAGCAATCTTAAGAAATTGATATCTGATTATAATTTCTTTTGATCATTTGATATCATAATTTTCTAACTTATTGTGATAAATTTGACGTGTAGTTCTAAGTGGTGAAGAAGGCATAACTAAATATTTTTTAAAGTATTAAGGATATGTGAGGGTTTCAAACTCTTGATCATAAGATTAGGATATATACTTCATAATAGTATTATTATAATAAGGATTGTTATTATTTTCATCTATTATATATACAGAAAGAATTAAGCGTGTTCATATAAGAGATAGTACTATAATAAGAAAATTGACTGTAGCTGATGAATTGCAAATCTCATATTTTAAGAGCAAAAATATGAGCTCTATTAAACTAAGACAGTATGTAATTACATATTCTCTCAAGTGATCATTTTCATAGATGATAAATATATATGATGGCCCTCTTTTTGTAATATACTTTATCATGTAGCGAATAAATCCTTTGTCTATTACGTATTAAATGTTTATATGAGTATAGAGTAATAGTATTAGAATGTAATAAGGAACAATCCAGGAATCAGCTTCTGTAAGACATCTATAAACATATCAGTTTTCTCCTTTAATATGATGTATTATTTTACTAAAAGATTGAGAAAAACCTTTTTTACATATATGACCTAGAGGTGTAGATCCTTAACATTTTACATTACAGGTATATATTTGGTTAGCAATAATGGTAGCATACAATTCTAGTTCATATAAGAGATCTGGCATAATCAATCAGATGATATTATTTGAGATCATTTCATTAATAGTATTTGTTATCTAATAGCAGCTATGTATATATACTGCTCCCTTATTCTGAAATTCTACATGATCAAAGAAGTTAGTAATGTTATTAAAACCTATAAGTTCTGGTTTTTTGTAAAGCTCTTTTTTCAATGACTAAAACTTATATATGAAGTAATTGGCACAGTGAAATAGTCTATTTATCAGTAGTATATCTCTATTGTCACTATTCACAAGTATTTCTTGAAAGTATATCCAACGGTTTTTAGCTATACTTAATATTATGAACAGTGTTGGCAATCTAAATTTATGTAACATTGAGTTCAGATGAAGTTATTTCTGATGAAAATAAGAATCACCAGTATGTATAAAGGTTGAAATTGAAATCATTTTACCTTTGTCTATTATATTATGATTGGAGTAAGCACTTGGTTAGAATAAGTTTCTAATATTCAGAAAAGTTGTATTGTTGATATTATGATTATTATTAGAATTCAAGCGAGATTGTAGTAGTAATCGTTTAGTGTTTTAATGATATCTTAATTTTTCGAGTTAGAGATACGACTACAATGACTAATGATGATGAATTCTCTATTTCACATTAATATTCATTAAACGTGATTTAATGTATTGTCTATATATTTCATTATGAGCTTCATTATTAGAATCCAGATTGTGAAAATGTTTCTTTTCATCTATAAATAGGTTTGAAAAAAGTAAAGGTCCTAGATTCAGATCATAGATCGAGATGAGAATCTATAATATTTCACTTTCTTAAATAAAATTGCTATCAATCTGCTATAATGAATGTCTTCATCATGTACTTCATTAGGGAAGTTATAGTTTAGGATCATTATATCACGTGAGTTAATAAGGAAAGCACTGATATTTGTCTGAATGTATTGTGTATTCAGAAAGGGATCATTTAGTATATGATATTCAGGATCAGATGATAAAAGGTTTGTAAAAAGACGAAGGTAAGAATTATTTTCTACAAGCTAGGTAGCAGCTCATCGTAGAATTTCATCAGGCGTTAAAATATTCTGACCTTCATTGTTAGCATGATCATTTTCAGAAAAGTTTCTAATGTTTCAGAGTACAAAACATATGTTCTAATGTTACAGGAGTAGTTCATTGTACTGGTTAAGCTCTTGTACTCTGAGTAAGGATTGCTATCTAATATTCTTCCTAAATAACAGTAAAGAAAGACAAGCGATAGATATCTGCTTTTATGCATAGGTACAGAAAGTATCTCATCTGGTAAAAGGGATAGATGAGGAAATTGATACCTGGTGGAAGACTTCTTACATGACTTGCAGATAGGTATCTTTAGCTGGGTTATATGGTTAATATTTGGATTGAAAAGCAGAATAACGTTATGTATCTGTTATTATAAAGGATAAATAATTGACAAATTATATAACGTCTAATATGTCTTTTTTGAATATAAAAGTCTTTTGCAATATATACAAAGAATCTGAGGCCATTGTGATAGAATACTATTTTGAAATCTATCATATAACCTTTGTAATTTTGATAAGGTCTCTAACGTGATGGTCAGAAGGCTGATGGATGATTTGAAGATTATCATCATGATTTTGATCTGAAACTGGTAATACAGGATCAGGATCATCATTATCCATTGTGAAGTCTAATATAGTCTTATATTTATTATTGAAGGTATATACATTATAGATTAAATAAGCTATAATCTCTTTTTTTTTACCTTCTTATACAATAAAGTAATAGATTATAGATATTATTCTTTTCTTTTTTTTGAAGATCTGAAAATAAATAATTTGTAATAAATTCTGTAAAAAATAAAATATTAATTTAAATTTAAGTAAAATTATATTCGTTTTTTTTATTTTCATTTTTCGTGATAGAATGTAATATTTTCAGAAATATTTATAAGAAATATCAAGGAATATATTTTAGTCTTTTCTACGATTTTCTACGTCTTGATAATATATTTTGTCATACATTTGAGATTTTAATTTTATTTAAATAATATAAAAAAATAAATATATATTATTTTATAACATATTTTATCTTGTGCTTAAAGTGACAGCTTAGATCAATTTCATATAAAGACTTTATTATTTATTTAAAATTAATTTATTTAAAAATAATAGGTGCAGCATATTCTTAAGATTATATATTTTATTTATTTAATTAATTATTCAATGAACTATTAGAGTTTCAGATGATATGCTATGAAAACTTTTGTAATTTTACAAAATTAAAATTAAAAAATTTAAAAAAAAAATTAGAAACTGCCTTTTCAAACAAACTCTTACTGATATAAAAGAAACTTCAGATTTTCTTTTATTATATTATTCTACATTAGTATAAAACTGAAAATTTTCTACAAAAGAATCATTGCTTTTGATCTTGCAAAGAATTATCATCTGCTATAGTGGTATTCATAGTCAGAATGGGATTTGTTTTCAGAGCAGATGCAAAGTTCTGATTTTTTAGCAATCCCATCTAGGCTAAAGTGCTTCTCCCTCTTATTGATCATAGTGTTGTACCTTTGGATGACCTGCTGCTACCTTTGCAATCTGTTCTTTGTAAATTAAGCCATAAAATATTTAATGTTTACTAATTATTACTATTATTATGATTGGTAAATATTAAAGAAATAACTTTAAGTTAAACACATGTTTTCTATATGAGATTTCCTCCTACATTATTTCATCAATCACAGCTGGTTTATAATTAATCAATTCCACAAGTATTGTAGTTGTGGATCTTATGCTTTGATTTATCAAATTTGTTTTATTAGAGAGATATCTAAGATTCAAATGATACCTAACTTCTATCTAAAATTTACGCAATTCCCTATTCCCAAGATTTTTTCTACATAAAAATTAAGAACTAATTTTCTATCAACGTTTCTCACTATTTTTGTTATGATACTTACGAGTATCATGTTCAGACTAATCAGTGGTATAAGGTCAAAATCTATATTTTTCAAGACTTTGATGGAGGTGGTATTGATCTTTATGATATTTCGTAAAGATTAACAAATTTGGGAATAAAGTATAGTAAAAAATTCAAAGGATTATACTATATATATAGAATAGTAACTGAAGTAAGTGATAAACTTTCTTTTTAAAAAAATCATATCGCCAGTTTTAAAATTATCAATTCAGGTTTTAATAGTCTGATCTAATAGGATGAAGACTTTGATTCTAAGATAAATGATCTTTAGATAATCTTTATTGGATCATTAGTATTCAATCTGAAAACTGTTGTAATCTTCTTTACTATGAATTTTGAAGTCAAATATTTAGTAGAATATGTACAAAGTAAATTGTAAAGAGTTTAATCAGCATTATTCATTAGTAAAATTTGATAGGTATAAAGTTATGTAACCTTATATTTTGTAAGTTTTATATAAGGCTATAGGGCTATCAAAACCTTACGAAACATAATATTTTATTACCTTATAAGATAAAATACTTCAAAACCTTATGAAATAGAATACTTTATTATTTTATAAAATAAAATACTTTGAAACCTTATGAAATGAAATACTTTGTTACCTTACAAGATAAAATATTTTGAAATCTTATATCTTATGAGTTTATAATACATAATAATTTGAGGGTTTATAATATGTAAACTTTTGAAAATTAAGATATGTAATATAATATTATAGTAATTTACATATTAGTGATATGTAATACATAAAAAGTATATAATGCATACATATTTTATATAATTAATTTATTATAATATTATCTAAATTTATACTTTATACAATTTAAAATTTATTTATTTATTAAATAAAATATATATATTAACAATAAAATACAAATATTTTATAATAATAAAAAACTTTTTAATATAATATAAAATATAAAAGAATATTATAATTAATAATATATACTGTAAATAAATAAAGTTAATAGTATTAAATAATGTAAATATTAGTAATATTTAACATTAAAAAATAAAATAAAATAGATATAATTAATAATATAAAAATGTTAAAAATAAATAGAATATATATAATTAGTAATATAAAAGAAAAAATTAAACATAGTTAGTAAAAATTAAATGTTAATGATAAAATTAATATTAAAAATATAATATTCAAAGAAGTAAATATTAAAAAATAGCATAATGGTAAACAAATAAAAGTAAACAGAAGATCTATGTATAACATAAACAAGTTATATGATTGGTTAATTTAACAAGATTGTGTAATAAATCAAAAAGTATAAAGTAAAAATTAGAATAAACAGATGGGTGAAAGGGATAATAAAGTATTTTTTTTTGCACACTTTTATGAAACTTAAAGTTGAATTTTACTCATAATAAAAGATTTTTAATTTTTCATTAATTATTATTATTAAATATATATTTAAAAAAGAATAAAAATCTGCATAATACAGTATAATTATAACTTTGAATTATTATATAAATTACTATTTAATTTAACTTTAAAATGCAATAAAATTTAGAAAAAATAATAATTGTTCAAAAATTAATCATAATAAATAAAGTAATAACTTTTAAATACTTTAATAAAATATTTTTATTTAATACCTTTTTTTTTATAAAGTGTGATATTTTGCAATATGATAAAATTGATCTACAATTGATCAAATTCATAATGTGACACTAAAAATTTTTTCAACTAATAAGAGTAATTTGCAATTTAAATAATTGATTTTGAACACTTATAGGTAATTCTATTTTCTTATATATTAATATACAGTTTTCTCACTTTTTTTAGATTTTTAGATAGTGAAAATAGTATTTGATATTATTACTTTTTAAACTGTTCCTTTTGCTTCAGTTCTGATATTCACACTTACTTGAGATTTTTTCTTGATGAATCTCAAAATAATTGCTTGCAGTTTTCTCAAATATCTCTAGTTTTAGTAATTGAATCAGGATAGTTTTAGTCTTATTTGAAAGATTAGAATTTACTGAATCTGCATATCAAATTTGATAGGAATTGGTTTAGTAGATATTGTGATATTCACATTCAAACTTTATTATAGTAAATTATTTTATTTTTTACCAACTCTCAAAGCTATTTCATTTTTTAACATATTAATATATAGTTTTCTCACTTTTTTTAAGTTTTCAGATGGTAAAATTAGTATTTGGTATTATTACTTTTTGGACTGTTCCTTTTGCTTCAGTTATGGTATTCACATCTGCTTGAGATTTTTTTGTGATAAATTTCAAAATAATTGCTTTTAATTTTCTCAAATATCTCTGATTCTAGTAATTAGATCAGGATGAGATCAACACTAATTCTTACTTATAACTATCATACCAAAAACTAGAGCAAAAAATTATATTCAAAATAACTCACAATCTTATAACAAAAATAAATGAACAACATAAAAAAATAATAGCGAACAGTCTGTGAACTCTAGTTTAGAGTCCAATGAACAAACTTTATTAGAAACTCCTTTGACAAATAATAAAAAACAAAATTTACTTTAGAAAATATGAAAATTTCTTCTTCAAAAATTATTAACAAAGATATTGAAAATATTATTCTCACTACTGATAATAACAATTAAACACCTTCTAACAACACTGATGATAGCACAACTAAATCTTTAAACATAGAAATAGATAATGTTCTCTCAACTTCTAATACTACAGAAACAGTTCAACCTATTCCCTTCCAAATAACCAAAGACTCTATGCATGCAAAACAAATAAACAATACCAGTAAATCAAAATCAACGAGCACTTTTTCTATCTCTAAAGAAAAAAATAAACAGATTTGGTCAGACAAAATGGATGAAGCCGAAGCTTCAACTTCTAATAAGAACATGAATGATCAATAATTCAATATAATTACTGCATTCACTTGTTTTTACACTACTGATAACAGGCAGATATAAAAGAAAAATCTATCACTAAAAAATGCAATTTTATCAATACATTATTTATTCACTTTAATGGCTTTCAAGGATCTAATTACCTCTCTAAAAACAGAAAATTCATCATCTATTTTGACAGTTTAGAACACCTCACACATACTGTCACAAAAGTGCAAGAAACATAACATAACCTGATCTTTTTAATTGTAGATTCTAACATCAAATAATTAAAGTTAGATGCTGAGAAAGGTCACATTATTAAAGTATCAGACATTATCAAAGTATCAGACATTCTTTTTTTTTTTAAATCTAATATAATATATAATTTTTTTGCCAAATTTGAAATGATCACCTATTTCTCCTTAATCATCAGAGGATCCTGACAGATTTCATTCATTGTTTATGAAAGCAATGACGCCATTAAATAATTCTATAATGATACTTAATCTGTCTCCTTTTTAGAATTCGCTTTAAAAGTGGAACCCACTGATCTTGATCCTATACAAACTACATTAAGATAACAATTTGAACTTAAACTTACTAGCTTATTACTTAATACTAATCAATGCTCTTTACATGATTTCCTAACCTAAATCAAAGCCAAATTATGTTTCATTTCAAGAGATCAACAATATCGATTAAGACCTTACACATTTGTTAATTTTGTCACTATTAAAGACTTAGACGCTGCAACTATTCAATACTATAAATTCAAAGAAAATGTATTATACTAAATGGGTCCTGCAGACAAACATTATAGAAAATGTGAATCTCCAGATCACGAATTTAAAGATTATTCTAAAAAAATCTCTACTAATCCATATAAATCTTTATATGAACGTTTTAAACCTGAACAGTATAGACTATTATATCCTCGAATGTTAATTAATATTCATAATAATATAACATATGCTAAAGCTGCTTATATCAAACTACTAATTAATAATAAGTCACCCTCTAACAATATCCAAAATAGATCTACATTTTTTCCTAATACCAGCAAAACTATTTTTATATTAGTTAAAAAAGTTAAAGAACTTGAAAATAAATTCAAAGTGCTCTCTGATTTATTTAATGATATTAAAGAAGAAGTTATGATTCAAAAACATAATTAAGGAGAT